TAAAGAAAACAAAAATCCTCACCACTGGACCAATAAGCAATATTCTTATCAACTGAGAAAAGACTGACGTTGTCAAAGACTTCATTCTTCTCGGATCAACTATCAACATTAACGGAAGCAGCAGTCAAGAAATCAAATGATGTATTACATTAGGCATATCTGCTGCAAAAGATCTTTTTAAAGTGTTGAAGAGCAAAGATGTCAGCTTGAGGATTAAGGTGCCCTGACCAAAGCCGTGGTATTTTCAATAACCTCATATGCATGTGAAAGTTGGACACTGAATAAGGAAGACCATAGAAGAATTGATGCCTTTGTGTTATGGTGTTGGAGGAGAATATTGAAAGTGCCATGGGCTGCCAAAAGAACCAATAGATCTGCTTTGGAAGAAGTGCACCCAGAGTGATCCTTGGAGGCAGGATGGCCAAACTTGTCTCTCATACTTAGAACATATTGTCAGGAGGGAGCAGTCGCTGGAGAAGGATATCATGTTTGGTAAGGTGGAGGGATAGAGAAAGAGAGGAAGACCCCCAATGAGATGGATTGGCGAAGTGGCAGCATCGATGGATTCAAGCATGGCAACAGTAGTAAGGTTGGCCCAGGATCGGGCAGTGTTTCATTCTGCTTTGCATAAGGTCACTAGGAGTTGGTACTGACTCGATGGCACTTAACAACAACAACAACCACTACCAACTGCCCTGAATGGGATCACATTAGAGGATCCCATATAGAGTGGAAGAAAATGTAGAACAAACCTGAAAATGTGGAACAAAACTAAAAATGATTACAGCAACAACAACCACAAAATAGATATACTAGTCAGGAAGTGACTGGAGGAAACAGAGACAATGGCACTTGACCACCCTTGAGGTCTGGAAAGAACTCATTTTCGTGGTCCAATTTTCAGCCAAGCAGTAGATAGGTTTATAAGGGTGAGGGGGATGGGGAGGGCAATAACACTAAAAAGGTATAATCACCATAGAATGGTCAAACATTCAAAATCAAAAGGCAACAGTTTTCTAAGTGTAAAATTGAGAAGGGATCCGAGGTGAGTGGAGTGCAAATAGGAACCATAGGGAGGAAGCATGATATCTATTGTTGCCTGGAGGGGATTGTAAATCTGGAGATGAAACAAAATGTATGGTTTATTGAATGAAAACAGATGATCCTGTCTGTAAATCTTTACTCAATTCACAACAAAAAGCTTAAGAAAAAAAATAAACATCCGGGGTTTCTGCCCAGGCAATTTTCATATCCCTGCTGAAAGGAAGCCTTGTTTGTGTCAATGGTACCATTTTGGTGAAAGCAACCCCAGTCTGTGTTTTCCAGGCTACAGTGTACACCCATCTGCCCTCCAAAACCTACCACGATGGAGAAATTGTGGGAACACAACTCCAGAGACTGGATGCAGAGTCAGTTGCTGGGCAGTGTCAGGGACGGACTGTCTGGAACTCTTACCGCCAAGGAGAAAGGCAACCTGTCTGATGGTGCTTCCGGCACATCCCACTTGTGGACCCTGAGGTAGGAGGACTTGAGTGCAACTGTACATAGATTTGCTGTCCTGGGACTGGGGCGCACCTTTGCTGCACTCTCTCAAAATCCTCTCAGGGATGATGGTGGTGGTGGTGGTAGTGGTAGTTGTGTGCAGTCAAGCCGATTGCAACTCTGTATAGGTTCGGAGGCTGTAAATCTTTATGGTAGCAACAAGACTCATCTTTTCCTATGGAGTGACTGGTAGATTTGAATATCTGACCTTGCAGTTAGCTGTCCAGCTTGTAATCCACTATACTACCAGGGAGCCTGCACAGATAATGGAGAGGATGGTTTTTCATAATGGCAGCTGCATTTTTTGTCAGGTAAGGGCTCATTTCCTTAAGCCCCAGAGGATATCAGGCATGTGCACCTAAAGTTATGACTGGTTTTGTACTCTTTCATATGTTTCTGAATCTCCATAGCCACCAGGTTTGCAAAAGGAATGAGTTCTTGTCAAGAGTTATAGAGGGGTCTCAGTGGCTGCCACTTTTATTAAGAGAAACTGGCTGTTCTGCTTGGGGAGATCTTAGGGGTTGGTGAGAACAGCACAGGAGCTGGCAAGGGTGAGATGGACTGTGGACCTACCACACAGATGCCAAGTTTGCTCTGTTCTCTGTATTGATTAGATGTCATGTATTCATTGGCTACATTGAGAACAAACTGTTTGAAAGTAGAATTCCCTCAGCACCTGGCGTCCCACCTGTCCGTCACCACCTGATGTCTCCTTGTTCCTCCTGTCACCTTACCACCTAGAGTCACTGTCAGTCCTCCTACTACTGGGTCAGCCCTTTTGTAGGTGCACCAGTGTTTAGCTGTTGAGTCTGCTGAGAGATTGTGCCAGTCATGTCAATCGGATGAACAGGGCCTTGGTTTTATCAGTCACTTTATTTTCAATACAAAAAAAGGCTCCCCCAATTTTTATTATTCATTGATTTATATAAACAACAAGTTAGTCTCAATCAAACACATTTTTCAAAAGTTACAAACTGGCCTAGAAATCTCTAGTGTGTAGCTGAATCAATTAACCATCTGAATTTTTAAATGAAGTGTTTAAATTTTATTACATATCCACTTTCTTTTTTGGCATTTTAGGGAGCTATGATTCTATATTATCAGCAAACTTTTCTTAGGGGTGAAACTTTTCCAACCCCACCAACTCTTCAGTGTACCTTTTAGCAAAAAAAAAAAAGTTTTTATTGTGAATTGAGGGATAGTTTACATGGGAGGACATCAGTTTTACATCATTGTTTCATTGCAATGATTACAATCCCCTCTGCATTATCATTCAACAGTATTTGCTTCTACTCCCTGTTTTTTTTTTGTTTTTTGTTTTTGATGTAAATAAAAACACTCAGGCATGTATAATAATTTACACCACCAAAGGGCACATTCTGCAAGTCTGCCTCCTGGCCACCATCACACAGCTTTTCTCTTCCCATGAGTGTAGAGTCCTCAGCTGCTCTCTTTCTCCATGTCATCATCTCTGCCTCCATCTCTGGTGTCACTACTTCTCTGGATAGGGTCCTACATTCCATATCAGTCATTCTTAATGCCCCTCCTAACTAATGAGGTCACTTTGTGCCTAAATATTCAACAACTGGGCTCATAACACGATAGATAAATTTCAGACTTTATCTTCACTGGTTGTTGTATCTTTTGTGATTCATAGAATAATTGCCCTGAAGTTACTACAGAGACATTCCATGCCATTCTGCCATGTCTGGAAAGATCCATGCTTTGCAGAGAAAGAAACATCTTATTTTGGTTGTTAGTTCTACAATATCTGTCAGAATCAATGTAGAAAAAGATTTATATTTAGGATAGCTTGATGAAAGTTGCATGCTTTAAAAAGAAATGCCATTTTGATCCCCATTTAAATAGGAGCTCTTAAATCATAAGCTGGAAATGAAGTATGAAATGATTATTCATCAATTTCATTAAATGTAGGAGAATATAAAACAAGGTTTTACAATTTTCAAGGGATCGGAAAGAAAGTTTTTAAGGAAGGATGGAACTTAAAATAAAAAGGTGTCCCAACATAGATGTTCTTCCTTCCTCTACTAATGGGTACCAGTACCATGCAGTGACCTGCAGAGGGACATCAGTGGGCTGATGCAGAGGGACATCAGTGATTAACTTCTGGGTCAGCAGGGAGGCTGTCTGCAGGCCTGTTGAGGGGGAGATCAGGGATGGGGAGAAGGGACTGAGCAGACCAGAGGCGGAGAGGTCCCCATGACAGAGCAGCTAGAAAACAGGGTTAGCAGGAGGGGCCTTGTAGATCACTGTGAGGAGAAGTGGTGGGTGATGAGAATGGGAGAGAAGGGCATGAGAGAGTCTTTCTGTGTCAGCATCTTCTGAAGCACTCTGAAGAGTTTCTGTGGTACAACTGGCCAAAGACTTGGCGTTCATTACCTTTGAGAATTATTGTTTACAGACCATACTTTCATATTTGAATATCAAATCGATTTCCCCCTCCCCCAGGAAAAGTCTGGGGAAAATCATTGACAGAGATGAGTAGAGAACCAAGATGAAACAATTTAGTTGTAAAGAGTGGGGCCTTTGAGCCTTTACAGACTGGTGATGACCACACATCTTGAAACCATTGCTTTTGCAGGGAGGCACTGTGCAGCAGCTAAGTACACTCCCCAACAGCACCTTCCCACCAGGCAGTGGGGTTGTAGGTACACAGCTCAGAGGTGCCAGATTCATTTCACCAGTGACTGACACCTCTGGTGACCCCAGTGGCTTTTCTCTTGCAGAAGCTGTATGCGTGGGCTGACTGTCATGAGCCTGTTCATCTTCATAGTGTTGTGTTCGGTAAGTATCGCAGCTCTGCAAGGTTCTGCCCGCCTTCAGAGGAGATACATGGGTGCCTGGGGTGGCAGCTCAGGTGGAGGAGGAGGCAGAGCCCCAGCACTGCCCTGCTGTGTTCTCATTCTGCAGTCCCAGCCCTGGGTGGATCTGCTCCCTAGAAGGTAGTTCGTCTTCCCTGGGTCTCTCCTCCTGCTCTAGGGACTTACCACCTCTTCAGCCACATACAATAAATACACTTAATTTGCACTGTTACCCTCCTAGCCATGTGGGGCCCCTTTGATGGAGCCCTGGGCCCCTGCCTTGGGCAAGCCTACTGGAGGGAGTGAAACTCCAGCTTCCTTTTGAAACATTCTGTCCAATAGATGCATCCTAAAGTCAAATCAGCCTCATACGGCCACGTCTGGGACAGGGTACAGGAAAGCGAGTGGGACAGGTGTTTGGTAAATGTCAGGAGGTGGGAGTGATGGCTTTTCTCAATAGGAAGAAGACAGGTAAGGGCTGTGCTGGTGGCGTCACCTGCTCTGAGGGTGAGCTGAGCCTGGAGGCCTGGAGAGGCACTGAGTGGGCCTCGCCCTGACTGGATAGGAGCCTGTTTCCAGCCTTGTGTGTCCAGGGCCCTATGTGCACCTTGCTGGAATCCCACAGCAGGCACTGGGCATGATATGTTGGGTGGGTGTGACCCAGTGTTGTCATGAGGGGATGTGGGGTTGTAGACTGCACCAGGTGACACTATCAGAATGGTCATCTATAAACACTTGTCCAATGTTTCAATAGAAACTTTTTTTTTTTTTAAGTAAAAATATCCCCGCAGTTAGTTGTAACAACAAAACATTTTTTGGTTAAGTTCAAACTACCTGCATCACTATATCTAAAACTGCTAATTTACTGTTTTAACTTTCTAATGCATCCCATTGGAGCTATCATTTGAGTTTTTGTTATGTGACGTGGAGTCACTTCCGACTCATAGCGATCCTGTACAGGGTTTCCAAGGCTGTAAATCTTTACAGGAGCAGAAGCTATCATTACTACCCAATTATAATCACACTTCAAGTCACAGGTTTTTTGTCTGCACTGCTTTGTAGTCTTTTGTTTTCATTGGTTCCAGTGTTGTCATAGTCACTAATTTTGTCAAACTTTCTGACTTTTTGCTATGACATTAGTATTTGTGACCTTAATATCTTTTTGGAGTAAGAAGTAGTAATTAAAAGAAAAGAAAGAGGGAGAAAGTCTAAGTTGCTAATAATTTTGTAACTAATAAGGTTGTAATTCATTGCAGAAAATTTACAAAAAATATTTTTAGTATTTATATAATCTAACAAAGACTACATTGAAGCAATTTACAACTATAGCACATATTAAACATATGTGACAAGTGATTAAAATTGATGAGCTGTTTACCTGTGTTTTATTGACTATGCAAAGTCATTCCACTGTGAGTAATGAGCTGTTTACCTGTGTTTTAATGATTATGCAAAGTCATTCCACTGTGTAGATCATTGCAAGCTAAGAATAATATTGTGAAAAATAAGAATTCCAGAATACTTAATGACTGCAAGAAGCAGTCATTCAAACAGAACAAAGGGACATTACATGTTCTAAAATCAGGAAATGTGTGCACTAAGGTTGTGTTCTTTCACTATACTTAGTCTGTGATCTAAGAAAAGAATCCAAGAACTTAGACTTTATGAAGAAAAGTGAAACATCAGGATCTGAGAAAGACTCATTAGCAACCTGAGATATACTATACTATTGACACACCTTGCTTGTTGCAAATGAAGGGAACTTGAAGCATTTACTGATGACAATCAAAGACTACAACCTTCAGTATGGATTATACTTCAACCAAAAGAAAACAGAAATCCTCACAACTAGACCAACAAGCACTATCAAGATACATAGAGAAAAGATTGAAGTTGTCAAGGATTTCATTTCACAATTAATGCCTATGAAAGCAACAGTCAAGAAATCAAAAATTTGAAAATCACCAAGACATATAAAAATAAAACTTTCTAAAACTACAGACAAGAATCTTAAAAGCATCATGGGAAAATGAAAAGATACAAAGGACAACCAATAAGACAAAGCTCTGATTTCTCAGCAAAAACCATGCAGACAAGAAGGCAATAGGGTGAAATATATAAAACTCTGAAAGAACAGAGCTGACAACCAAGAATTATACACCCAGAACGATTGTCCCTTAAATACAGAGTCAAAATTAGGACATTTCTAGATAAACAGAAATTAAAAGAATTTGTGAAAACCAGACCAACCTTACAAGAAATACTGTAGGGATTTCCTCAGACAGAGAATACATGATAACACCACCCAGAAGCCAACCCAGATATAGAAATATCTATAAGACTGAAAACAGGGAGCCAGAGATAACGATTTATAAGCAAGGACAATTAAAAATGAAAAAGAGAGAATAGATAGTGTAGTTACAAAATTTCCAAATGAAGAAGAATTTCAAGATAAAATAGGTGGCTTTAAACTTGGGAGAAATTAATAAACTCCAGGGTATTCTGAAAGAAAAATTGGTAACCCTCATATAGAAGAAAATAAAAAGAGGAAAATCATAAGGATTTTGTAAATACTAAAACAACAGGAACTAAGCAAATGAGAGAAACCCACAAACTGAATGAATTCAGTAATGAAAATTATGTAAAATGGAGATACCAGCACCACAAACATAATAGCAATAAATTTAAACGTATCAACAATTACACTGAGTGGATTAAATGCACCAATCAAGATAGAGGGTAGCAGAATTGATAAGAAAACAGAACCCATCCATATGCTGTCTACAAGAGACACAACTTACACTCAAAGATAAAAATAGACTAAAAATCAAAAGATGAAAAAAAAAAAAATCAAGCAAATGGCAACCAAAAAAGAGTAGCAGGAGTAGCAATATTCATTTCTGATCAAATAGACTTTTAAGCAAAAGAGACAAGGAAGGACATTATATAATGACTAAGATGTCAGTAGCACAAGAAAGCATAGCCATAATAAATATGCATCCTAGGAAAGAGCCTCAAAATATATAAACCAAACTCCAAGAGAATTAAAGAAACCAACAACTCTACAGTAATATTAGGAGACTTTTATGCACCATTTTCAATGATGTACAGAGCAGCTAGAAACTCAACAAAGTCACAAAGAAGAACTAACCACTACAATTACCAACTTGACCTTATATACATGTACAGAACACTCCATCTAACAACAGTACAGTATACATTCTTGTCCAGTACACATGGTACATTCTCCATAATAGATCATAGTTTAGGCCACAAATCAAGTCTGAACTTTAAAACATCGAAATACTGCAAAGTATCTTCTCTGATCACACCATTATGAAATTAGAAATCAGCAAGAGGAAGATCAAGGGAAACAAGAAAGTATTTGGAAATTGAATAATACCTGCTTAAAAACTACTAGGTAATAGAAGAACTAAAACATGAAATTAAAAAATTCCTTGAATCAAAAAGAAAGAAAACACAAGCCATTAAAACCTCTGGGACATAGCAAAGACAGTGCTTGAGTGCAATTTATAGCAGTAAAAACAAAGCAAAATATGAGAAAGAATAAAAATTAACACTGTAACCCAACATCTCCAACAATGAAAAAAAGAGCAGAAAAATAAGCCTACAGTAACCAGAAGAAGAGAAATAATGATTGTTGTTGTTATTGATATCATAGAGTTGGTTCTGACTTACAGCTACTATGTATAGGGTTTCCAAGGAGCAGTTGGTGGGTTTGAACTGCTGACCTTGTGGTTCACAGTTCAGTGCTGATTCTACAACACCACACCAGAAGATTAGAAATAAAGGAAACAAAACCAGAAGAACAGAAGAATCAACATGACTAGAAGTTTGTTCATTGAAAAGATTAATGAAATTGACAAATCTACCAAAGGAAGTAAAGGAGAAGATGCAAATAACTTGTGGTAGCTATCATAACAGAACCAGTGGGAATAAAAAGGGTAATAGAATAGTATGAAGAACTAAACTGTAACAAATTTGAGAAGAAATGGACAAATTTCTAGCAACACACTACCTTAACTAACAAGGACAGAGTAGAAAATTTGAACAGAACAGTAACAAAAGAAGAAATAGATCAGGTCATTTAAAAACTCCCAACAGCAACAACAACAAAAATCCTTCACTGAACAGTTTTACTAGAGAATTCTACCAAACATTCAGAGAAAAAAATGACAGTAAATCTATTCAAATTATTCTAGAGTATAGAAAAGGACCGAATACTCCACAATTCATTTGATGAAGTAAGCATATCACAGCCAGGCAAATATATAACTAAAGAAGAAAATTATAGACCAGTATAAATCATGGACATAGATGCAAATATTTTCAACAAAATCCTAGTCAGTAGAATCTAACATATTAAAAATTAATACTACATCATGACCAAGTGAAATTCATAACATACGTAAGCAAGGTTGGTTAAATATTAGAAAAAGCAATCAATGTAATCCACATGAATAAAATAAAGGAAAAGAACCACATTATCATATCAATTGACACAGAAAAGGCATTTGACAAAATGTAATACCCACTCATGATTAAAACACTCAACGAATTAGGAATAAAAGGGAAATTCCTTAACACAATTAAGGGCATATATACAATATTAACAGCCAACATTAGTGTGGTGTAGTGAATTATCTAATGTCTCTTCTAGCCATAGCTTGTAACTCCCACCAAATGTTTCTGCCCTGCTGGGTCTGGTTAACAGCAGATGGGAGAAGATACCAATAGGGTGACATGATTTCGCTGTGGATGTTAGTAGAGTTAATTTCAATTGTAAAAACTTGAAACTCTAGCATGAGTATAATGAACCATCTCAAAAGTAGGATGGGAGGATCTCACTACCATCAAAGAAGAGCCAGGAGTGGAATGCATCCTTTGGGTTCTGAGATCCCTGTGCATTGAAGTTCCTCAACCCAGAGATAAAAGCTGTGACCCTGGAGGAGGGACAGAGGA